CCTTGTACAAAACTTTGAGGGACAAGGTTGGCATGAGCAAGTGGTTTGCCTTAACTAATGCTACGCAAGATGGCCCTTCTAGTGGCATTCCACAGAATCTTGATGACCAAGTGATGTATAGTAACCYTTCAGTCAAAGAAGTTGATTGTGTGTTAATAGAGTCTGCAATGGAATCTGTTGATTCTGATCTTGACAATAGTGTTTTKGATGAACATGTTTAGTTGGACAAAATTCCCTGCTCTGTTCTTGTCAAAAATGTAATCAAAATGCCCATGGATCATTGGTTTATACCACCCCTGATGAAGATAAAAATAAASTTAATGAAGATTATGAAACACCACAACATACCATTTGTTGCTGAAAGGGAGCTATATCAATGGGCTATTGAATTGGAGAGGTTGTCTGGTTTCACCTGGAGTAATGGAAGCAGTCTGATCAAAACTTGCCAAACTGTTTTAGACAAATGATACAAAGCAGCCCATGAACTACACAGGGATGATTTTGTACCACAGCTTATCAAATGACATTCTAACAACAATGTCAGTGACAAACTAATCTATGTAAGGTCCTTCAGATGTGCATTACAATCTCTTTTAASCTATGTTTCATTAATCAAAGAAGAAAATTTATTGTTTCCCAATCAGAAGAAYCCCACCTCACCTTGCCAAGTTCCAGAACTGATGGAAGACTCCCTTATCTGTGAACTCCACCACCATGGGTAAAGGTGGGTGGAAACATGGAAAAAAGTGTGACCCCAATAAAGACAAACTGTTGGTTCCTATTATATTCTACATGATAGGCATTGCTATAGACAGGSACAGAAGTACAACCCGTTGTCCATTGAAAATGATTCTTTGTATATTCAGTGATCTCACCTGCTCCAGCACCAGACCCAATCCTTGGGAGACTCTTTTTTTTCATCCTCAAGGAAAAAACAATCAGTTGGTTGACAATGTAAACAATCTTCACTGTGGTTTATGGGTAGCTCTTGCTTCCTCCAAAGCAATTTGAAAATCATCAAATGATATTTGTTGGCACAATTGTCCATGGGATGGTGAACTTTGGAATGTGACATTGAAATTTTCTATTGCTTTATTCATAGGTGACATGGAGCAACATGACAAGCTATGTGGGCATTTCACTTGGGGCATTTCGCTTCTGCTAATACTAAAATGATCTGTCAACACTGCAACTGTCCTTGTGCTACACTTGGAATTAACTCAAATGTTAAAGTCATGAATGCTTTGATTTCAAACTAACTTGAGGATTACCAACGTGCAATCGAAGGTGATGACAACCATKACAAATCTGACAAGACAACAAATGTTAGTCTCAGAGAATGCTCACAAAGTAAGAAGAGGCATATAAAATGCACTGACAGCAGCTTGTCCCTTAGTCTCCTCTAACAAAYGTCAAGTACKTGATAATGGTCTTGGTCGTGACACACATAGAAGTGGCAGAAGAGTTGCTGGCCTTGATGCCATCTGATTGTGTGTTCTTCAGGAATAGTTTGTTACTTGACAACAGCTTGTTGAAATAGTCCCATCTGCTATTTAAGTTGTAATGCGCCAAACGCTTTTGAAACTGATTCCATGGGATGACTCCCATATGAGTTATGTTGCTTGATRTGTCATTGCAAAGAAACATATTGAAAGAGCAGTGAATGGTCCTCAGAATAKTGCCAGCTTCTTTACCAGATGCTTGTTTGATAGATGGACAAGTTGTAACTACTGGCAATGTAACCATGAGCTGTGAGTTCTGTGGATGGTGTTGCGGCCTGTCTGCTTACCGCAAGGCTGAATTTATCATCATAGTAGTCTTCTTTCTCTAAAGCATCCTTCAAAGCTTTCACAAGAACCTTCTGCTTCTCTTCCCAACAAATGCTGTACTTAGACAGCACTGCCTTCA